CAGGAGAGGTCTGCTGCGCCGTGTGGGTCAGCTCCGGGGCAGGCAGGGATCGAACTCGCACTGAAGCGGCTGTGGCCAGCTTGCGGTGCTGTGTCCTAACCTGCTGCGCCACTAGGGAGGGCCTGAAGTGAACATTTCTAATTTGCACAAAGTCCAGTTCATCAACCATTTGTTAGGATTAGTGTCGGGTCTGCCTGTCTGAGGAATCTCGCTCAACCCTCATCTGGACGTGTGCAGGGGGCTTAGTGCCAGTCCCGGGCAGCGGCCGAGTGTACCCCGGCTTCTGGAGCCTGAAGGTCTGGGCTGGACCCTCAGCTCTGCCACGGTTCATGTTTGGGCCTCCGTTGCCCCATCCGTAAAATGGGGACTGTGAGGCCCACGGACGAGCGGCACAGGTGACCTGCTTGATGGGGCTTAGAGTGGTCTTTTTCTTTTCACTGTTGAGCGCCTTGGCGGGCATCTCCCAGAGGCTGGACAGTCACTTTAGAGGACATGAGCCCCCAGCGGCTGGCCCCCCACCCGATCCTCAGGCCAAGCGGGTCCCCGCCCCCGGCCTCTGCCAGCACAACGCCTCCAGGCCGGCCCAGCCCGTTGACAGACAAGGGGACGGGGCGGCTCAGAGTCCCGCACACCCGCCTGCACCCCGCCCACACGCCCCAGCCACCCACAGAGCATAAGCGCCACCCCTTGTGTGCTGTGTTTCAGTGGGGACACCGTACTACATGTCACCCGAGCGCATCCACGAGAACGGCTATAACTTCAAGTCGGACATCTGGTCTCTGGGCTGTTTGCTGTACGAGGTGAGCGTCGCCCAGCTCGCGGCATTTGCGGGGTGCGCGTGGCAGGCTCCCTGCGGGGTCCAGCTCTGCCTGGTGTCTGCCTGTAGCCTCCGTACATTGGGGTCCTGTCCTTCCCCAACAAAACAGCGTGGCGGGCGGGCGCCGTGGGGTGCACGCGTGGGCATGGCGGGGCTATTTGGGTGGAGAATGAAGCCCCTGGTGTGGCCCAGACTTAGTCAGAAGGACCTGAGGGGGGCCCAGCTCAGCCCCAAAGGAGCCCACAGCATCTGCATGTCCCCGGGTGCACCAGTGGCCCAGAGCGTCACGTGGGGCACAGCAGTGGCCCAGAGTGTCACCCAAGGGCACACCCAGTGTCACCTGGGGGCACACCCAGAGCGCCACTTGGGGCACACCAGGGAAGGCGCTCGGCGTGGGGCTGTTGCATCAGGCTCCAGTCTGGCCACCCTGTCCTCCAGCCGGCCGACCCAGCTGGCCTGTCTCCCACCTCCGGCCGTGAGGCTCCTGCACTGCACGTTTCCCTTTTCTCTCTGGCCGGTGGGAAGCTCCTGTGCCGGTGAGGAGCCCATTCCCCTGCCTGTGAGGACGCTGGCCCTTATTTTCCATGCTGCAGAGGGGCTTCCGTAAGCCGAATCCTGCGTCTGTGAGCCCTGAGGGTCCCCAAATGTAAACAGACACACAGGCAACCAGGGGCTGACAGGCAGGCGCCCTCCCCAGGGCCAGCCGGGAGGATGGCAGCCGGCTCCCTGCGCTGTGCCAAGCTGCTGACCCCGCCCAGCCTTTGTCTCTGCTCCTGGAGGCAGATTCAGCCTGGATGGCCCGTGGCGCCCACCTCGGGAGCTTCTGACTCAGGCAGCCCCCCGAGTCCTGGTCTTGGGCCCCGAAACACATGACTGACGAGCCAGCACCAGTATTAGTGGCCCCCCCAGCATGGGGCACAGCTCAGCTGAGTTGATTTATTTGCTGGCTGCATGTAAGCCCACCAGGGAGGTCGTAGCAGTGGGCAGGCATGAAATCAAGCGATTGAGTCCCAGGGGCACTGACGTTGGGGCAGCGGCCCCTGGGCTGACCCGGGGGCCCCACCAGTCAGGGACAAGGCCCGTGGGGTGGGCCGGTGCCGCGGCACGTGACGGCAGCGGGTACCAGGCTGCCGCAGGCCTCTGCCACATCCAGCCCTGCCAGCCTGCACACGGGTGTTTTCCCAGCATATGGGGTGGCGATGGGCAGCCGCATCTGAGCATGGGCAACGCCCCCGCAGACACGGCCCACGGCCCGCAGTGTCTCTGGGTCCGCCAAGCTGAAGCCCCGACAGGGGGCTCCGCACCCACACACCCACCACACACCCACCACTGAGGATTCAGTGGGTGGCCGGGGCCCCGGGGCAGCCCTCCCCTCCCCTCGCCCCCACGGGAAACCCCACAAGCTCTGCATTCGTTCTGTGGCCGCTGTAACTAATCCCCCAGGGCCCATGACTTCATGCAACCCCCAGCCATTCTCTGTGGCTCTGGAGCCAGAAGTCCAGCGTCAGCTCGCCGCGCCAAGTCCTGCATGGGGACGAAAGCTGAAGCTGGGCCGGTTCCCAGCGGCCCAGCTGGGCCTGCAGGGCCTGGGGGGCGCCATTTCCCTGCCTTTCCAGTGGAGATGGAAAGGCAGCAGAGGCACCTTCGCTCCTGACCCCTTCCTGTGTCGCCCTTTGACACACCCCCTGGCCCCCTTAGAAGGACACACAGGGCTGTACGTGGGGCCCACCTGGTCACCCCGACCTGAGGACCCCTAATTCAGTCACGCCTGTCCAGCCCACCTGGTACAAGGTGACGCCTCCCCAGCCCCAGGGTCACTATGTGGGTGCCTCTGGGGGCCATTTATGCAGCCCAGCACACCTCCTTCACCGGATGTCCACGGAGGGCCTCCTTGAGGTCACCTACAAGCCGATGTTGATCCACAGCGCTAGTGGGGAGCTGCCTCAGAGCGCTGCCCCGGCCGTGCCCCGCAGGGCTAGGGTCCAGTGGGCCCCTCAAAGAGGTCGAGGTCAGGGGAAACAAGCCAGACACACTCCACTGCTGGGAGCAGCTGGGCCCTACATGTGGGGGTGAGTCACGAGGACGGCACCAGGCTGGACTCAGCTGACTAGGAGGGGATGGAGGCTCAGCAGGTGGAAAGACTCCCAGGGAATCGCAGCCCCGGCGTGCTGGCTGACCTCAAAGCTACCGTCCAGAGTCAGGCCCCACCCAAAGCAGGGCCTTCCCTGCCCCCAGCCCTGGGATAGGCGTGACCAGGACCCTGGCGGGGAAGGAGCCGTGAGCCCCGGGGTGGGGGAGGGCCGGCTGCGAGGGCCACTCTGGTGCCCCGGGCCCAGCCGAGCAGCCCAGGCTTGGCCGTGTGGGAAGGCCTGGGGCTTTGTTTTCATTTCCCAGCACGCACTGTGGAGGCGCCGGCAGGCTGCTGGCATGCTGCAGGATTTATTTATTTACATGGGAACTCAGCTCTGAGCAAGGAGGGGCCTGCCACAGCAGCCTCAGGCCAGCGGGGCAGGAGAGCAGGCGGACAGACCAGGGGTCAGCTGAGCCTGGTCCGACTCCCACTCTGGAATTCTGGCTTGGGCCAGAGAGCAGAATGGCCGGATGCCCCCAGTCCTGGGGAGACGCCGCAGGCCATGGCTGGGTGGTGTGCCCTGGGTTTGCCCTGCACCCCAGCAGGTGCTTGGGAGGCACTGGGTGACGCCATGGGTGCCAGAGGCCCCTGCGGAGGTCAGAGGCGGCGGCTGTCCCTTCTGAAGTCAGCTGCCCCTTCTCCCCTGGACAGCTCAGATCGCGCACTAGCCCGGCCCTCGGACTGCCCCCAGCGCATGGCACCCTGATAGGAGGGGGAAGAGCCCCGTGCCTGAGGCTGTAGCCCCCCATGGGGAGAACTTACCCTTGGGGTAACTGTTCTACTCCCAGCCTCTCCAGCAGCCTGAGGCCCACCACAAGCGGTGCCCTGGGGGTGGGGGCAGGCAGCGGGAGGGGAGCCCGAGGACACCCCGAGGACCTGCAGCTGGGGGTGGAGCCAGCAGCAAGTGGGCAGGGCCGCGCAGGGCAGGCCGGGAGGCTCCTCCGTGGCTGCTGCCCACCTGCTCAGAAAGCCGTCCTGAGCCAGGTGGGTGGGTGCCCCGGAGCGGGAGAGGGCGAAGGGTGTGGTGGGTTCGGGGCCTGTCTGCCACCAGGTTCCGGGGCCTTTGGCGCCCGGCACAGCTCTGGCTGTGGGGTCGGATGAGACTGGCGTGTTCCAAGGGCCAACCGGCTCCTCTCCAGGGCTCGACACACGGAAGCCAGCATTAGCAGGGCCACTATTCAAACATCCTGTCCACTCACTCCGAACAGAGCAGCTTTCCTGGAAAACCCGCCTGAATCCACCAACCATGACTTAGGAGGGCACCGAGCTGCCCCAGTGACCACCTGGGTGTCCCCGCCGTCCGCCGCTGTGCCAGCAGGTGTCCTTTAGACGCCTCCATTAGCCTGGGCACGAGGCTGTCATTTAACGATGGGGTTTGTGTGGCTCCAGGCCGCTCCGCACACTGGTGGTCAAGCCGGCTCTGGCCCTGCTGACAGGTCCTCGATGGCCCGGCCTCCCCCCACGTGCCAGAACCACCCTCCCCCCGCCACATGTGCCAGGACCATCCCCGCGTGCCACAACCACCCGCCGCAGCCCACCTGCTAGGGCAGGTGTCCAGCCCAACTGGGCCCTTCCCAGCCCTCCTCAGTGGGGCTGACCTGGCCTCAGGGGAGACCGGAAGCTCTCTGGCACCTGAGCCCCGAGGCCCCGCCCTGGGCGGACACCTGCATCTGGGTCAGGGAAAGCCCCGGTCTCCAGGCCACACCCTGCCGTCCCCCCAAAGACCATCTGAAAGACCAAATTCTGAAGCCTGCCTGGATGCTTCTGAGGGGCTCAGGCCCTGCCCGTGTGGTCCCCCAAAACCATCCATGGGGGTGAACAGAAGACGGGCACCCAGGAGACAAGCTGATGAGCTGCCGCACATGCAAACCTGGGACACTGGGGCCCCCGCGGCTGGCTGCCCAGGAGCCTCTGGCGGGGGGTGGTCCGGGCGGCCATGCTCCTCAAAGGCGCCCGGACCCAGCCGACAGGCAGACGGGGCCTGCAGCTCGGTGGGCAGGAGGGCGGGCGGCGGGCGGCACGGTGACAAGCAGCAGTTGAATCCCATTGTGGATTAAGCAGCAGATGAGGCTGCGGATCAGCCCCCAACTCCCCACACACCCCCATACCTCCTGTAAAGACACCCTGAACCCCTCCCTGAACGCTGGGGTAGGGAGTCTGGGCGATCTCCAGGAGGGGGAGGCCCATTCATCCCCCATTTGGGAGACGACCCCCTGGGGCCACCACCGCAGTTCCCTAGCTCCTGCCTGGTGGTGCCCCAGGAGCGGGCCCACCTTTGGGGGGGGAGGGGCATACAGGGGCAGCTGGGTGGGTGCCCTGGCCTCAGGGGAAATGGCCTCCTGGCTCGCCAGGCCCCACGCCGGCCTGCAGGGGTCTCCCATCTTACGGAAGAGCAGGGGCCAAAGGCTGGACACGCAGCCAGAGTGCTCCCCTAGCACACCCCTGAAGTGGGGGTCCTGGGCCCCGGGATGGGGCAAGTGCCCATCCCCTGCAGTGAGGGACTGGCAAGGTCCGTGAGACACAAAGCCAAACACGAAATGCCCCTCCCCCCACCCCCCAGCTTCCTGCCATCCTCCAGCTGGAACTGCCTGTGGAATATGGGGGAGGGGCGGGGGGTGCCAGGGAAGCCGCTGGGGTCTGTGCCTGCCCCTGGGGCCCACGCCCACCCCCCCCATGCTGCCTTCGAAGTCGTCACTGACACCCCATCCACTCCTGCTTCTATGACAAGGATCGCGTTGAAACTAACACTTTTTAAAAAATCATTTACTTTTGCATACAAGAACTGGGAGGATTCATGAGACAGTGAGCAGCAGAACAGACGGATATACTGAGATACACTGCGGTGGGCGGGTCAGGCGAGGTCTGCTGCGCCCTGTGGGTCCCTCCCTGGCCGGGATCGAACTCGTGCTGCAGCGGCTGCAGGACAGCTTCAGTGCCGCGCTCTAACCTGTTGTGCCACCAGGGAGGGCCAGAAACTGCCACTTTGTTTTGAACTCCGGCTCCCTCGGGGTCTGGGGACATGCTGCTGGGAGGGCCGGAGGACTCGCCCCATCTTGAGTGTCCCTCTGCCCGGCCTCCAGCTGCAAACTCACCTCTCACCCCCTCTGCAGATGGCCGCTCTCCAGAGCCCCTTCTACGGTGACAAAATGAACCTCTTCTCCCTGTGCCAGAAGATCGAGCAGTGCGACTACCCGCCCCTGCCCGGGGAGCATTACTCCGAGAAGGTGAGTTGGCTGCCACGGGCCCAGGCCTGCCAGTCTGGATGCTGGTGGACACAGCACAGCGTGGCCATGGGCGGGGCCCCTTCACGGGGCTCGTGGGGTCCCTGAGCTGTCCTGAGGCCGGTCCCTCATCCATGGTACGCGGTGAGCCAGCGCCCACGGTCAGTGTAAGGGCTGAGGCAGCTCCTGTGAGACACCGCCTGGCCCTGCCCCCCAGTAACATTTCACCCCAGGTCACCTGACCAGGCATCAGCTGTTCTCGCTGTCCAGTCAGAGCTCCGGTGCTGCCGGTGGAGAGCTCCCTGGGCCGCTTCCCCGCCCGCACTGAAGCTGGCAGAGCCGGGCGCCTGGGAGGACATCACCTCGCTGTGCCAGTTTCCCATGTCTGCAAGGGAACGTGGTCTCTGCCTCAGGGACACAAAGCTCACATGACTGAGGCCACGTCGACCCCCAGCCCAGGCTGTCCCCCCCCAGCTAGCGAGGCCGCTCCCAGGGCCCGCACGTGCCTGGCGCTCACCCACCACCGGCAGCGTTTCCGAGCTGCGTCTGGGGCGTTGGGTGCCGGAGTCCTCGGCGCACCTTGCCCATTAATGACATCACCTCTTATTCGCCTTTTCCGTTTCTGAACAATTCTCAAGCTGCACTTAACTGCCAGCCGCATCGGCTGCTTGACTCACTGTGGTCAAGGCCCGCCACAGATGCTGGCGCTCCATGTGGGGGGTTCTGAGCGAGATCTCAGCAGCAGGGTCCCCCATCAGCAGCACATGGCGATTTTATAAGGAAAAAGTGCAGACGAGAAGTGGGCAAAGGCTGCAACATCGCGAGGGCGGCTCAGTAGGAAAGATGCTGGTACAGATGCAGGCAGGCAACGGTAGGCTACGAGCGGTGTCCTGCCAGGACAAGGGGCACCCTGTGTAGTGCTCTTTGGGGGGCTTCGTTCATGTGTAACATTCCAGCGCTTTGCGGTCAGGTTGTGCCAGTTTTTTATAAAGACAGATAATCCTTTCTGACCTCACCTCTGCGTCTGCAAACTTCCATCTCTGGGTTTGATCCTCCCTACCCCTCCTGGCTTTTGATCATGTGACATCGTCATGCTCACGTTTCCCCTCTAAGCTGCCATCAACACCCACCTTTCCCTGCGCTGTAAGGAGCCGGGAGCTCTGGGCATCTGTTGCAAGCTCAGCTGCCCCTACCCAGCTCCCCGGTGGCTGGACAGTGGACACTGTAGGGCCGTGCTGGTCGGAGAGGATGCTTATAGCAGGAAGCCGAGCTTGGCCCCTCCACCTGAACCCCGACAGCGTATAGGAGCCCTGGGGCCCCACGTGACCCCCCAGCCTCCCCAGCCTCCCTGCACTTGGCCGCAGGGGCCACCTGTGCCCCCAGTGCAGGACCTCCCCTGTGCCCGCTGGGGCTTCTGACCCACCCTGACCCTGCCAGGTCCCAGCAGCAGGTATTTAAATAAAAAAAACCTGCAGTGAGCCCAGTGATGCAAGTTAAGATGTGGGCTTTTTAAGGTCATTATTTTAATTACCATTAAAATAATTGGCACTCTGGCTATCAGAAGGGAGGTGATCAGAGGCCCAGGGTGCCCCTCCCCCACCCCAGGCTGGCGCTGCCTTGAGCGTCTGTATAATTAAAAGCTCCGTCTTTCGGAGCACAATAAAGAGGCCAGGGGGTGGGCAGGCTGCAGTCCTGCTGCATGTTAATGCATTTATTATGATCAATAAGCCCTTGCCTCAGTGCAGTCCTCTGGTCTAGGCATCTGCTGACTGACAGCAGACATACTCGCTCGCATACGCCCAGTAGTGTAGGCAGTTGAAAGTTCAGAGTTACTTGCAGGCGATGACTCTCGGGGCCTCGAGGTAGAGTCTTTGGGAGCAGATGGGCCCAGGCTGGCCGAACCCCCTCATCTTCCAGTGGCTGTGGGGGTACGCTGAGCTCGTGCAGGGAAGTGCTGGGCCGGCCTCCTCCAGGCTGCTTCAAGACCCCAAACCTTTCTCTCCTCTGCAGCTGCGGGAACTGGTCAGTATGTGCATCTACCCAGACCCGGACCAGAGACCCGACATCGGCTACGTGCACCAGGTCGCCAAGCAGATGCATGTGTGGAATTCGGGCACCTGAGGGCTGCTCGAGCTTTAGTGTCTTCTCCCAAGTGGCCACCCGGTAGCCTAGATCAAGAGACCAGAGGGGTGGGGGCATCACAGCGGATGAGGAATGCAGAATGCCTGGGGGAGGGGGCCCACTCCGCTGGCCAGTTACTGGCTTGTCCTTTCTTTCAGTTGTCGGGACAGTCTCAGCAGGGGTGGCCCAGGAGCCCCGTGTCCCCACCCGCCCCCACCCTCCCAACCCTCGTTTCTGGATTGCAATGTGAATCTTTTGGAGAATCCCTTCAGTGGGCAAAGGCTTCTACTAACAGACTTGCAGGAGACCAGTTTGTGGCGAGCCTCTGCAAACGGTTAGCAGCAGTTTAGCTCTTAGAATCTTCTCAGACCTTCAAGCTGTGCGCTTCACTTTACTCTGTTGTATAACGATAACATGGAACTTATTTTTTAAAGTACAGCGGAGATTGTCCTACTATTTTTATCTACATGTGTAACTTGATGAAGGACGATGAGGATCAGCTTCTGACATAAAAGCTTCTGCGAGGGAGGCGCAGAACTGGAAAGCCGCCTTTTCCGTGTCGCTGGCTCAGCCCCCTCCCAACCCAGACACCCACCAGGCTCCCCCGTGTGGGAGCTGGCAGTTCATCTCCCATCAGTGTTAAGCCTTTCTTGGGAGGGAAGGCAGCGTGGGATACAAAAAAAATTTCAGGACTTTGCCCTCGGGTAGTTCTCGCCACAAATTCTGGTTCAGCAACTCCTGGTGTGACCCGGGGCTAGTCTCTTAGCCTTTCCTAGTCTTAGTTTCCTCATCTAGTATCTACCTTCAGGGTTGCTGACAGAATTTGAATAAAATACCCAAGTTATCTCATACGTGGTAGGTGACCCAAAAATGGTAGCCACGCACCCCTCACATCTGCAGTCTGTGGACCACTTTAGTCAACACAACTGTACTATGTGTAGAGAACCAGAAATGTGCTCATGTATTGCTTGTTCCCAAGTAGGATTAACTGTGAAAGCTAACTTATAAATGTGAACTTCAAGGAAAACTCAAGCTCTGAAGGAATAGTTGGAGTTTTTTTTTTTTTATACTCAAGTTAATCCTCCAGTGGTCTAAGCTGTCTCACTGACTTGGTGACATTCAGCCTCAGGCTGGCTCCCGCCTGCTCCATGGGTGTCCCCGTCAGGGGCGCTGGCATCTGCTCTGGGGGTAAAGGACTCAGGCTGGGCCCTGCTGTTTCCACCTGTGATCTTGGTTCTACTGTAACACTGTTGGGTTTGAGATTTTCTTCAGATGCAACCTTTGCTTTGTACTTGTTCTCCATGTTTAAATAAAGTGGGGTCAGAGGGTTACTCCAATGAGTGGCTATGATTCATGGACGGTTTTAAAACATTCACATGGCAGCACCATTTCTTGAGGCGCCTTAAAAATTTTTCTCAGGCCCCAGACATTCTGAGTAATCCTGGAATTTTCTTAAGCTCCCCAGATAATTTTGATAATCATCCGCCAAGTTGCTGCCTAAATAATTCCATTGTTCTCCCTGCCCGGCTCCTGGCCAGCGTAAGAAGGGCAGCTGGCCCATTCTTAAGATGGGGTGCTGAGCCTGCTCTCCTAGCCCCCCAGCCCCAGTGTCTCCCCAGGGGGTGACTGTCTCTTGGTTGGTCCCAGACAGACTGTTTGCAGGTGTCCCGCTCCCGGGGCCTCCACTGTGGTCGCGCCTCCCTGGGCAGGATCAGCGGGCCAGCTCTCCACATACCTCACCTAACACTGCACGAGTTCTGCCTGCCAGCACATAGGATTTCAACCACACGCCAGGCTTGAGTGCTCGTGACACGGTCACGTCCAAGTTGTTTCAAAAGTTAAGCAAGTCCCAAGCACTCCTGGGGCTCAACGAAGCTGGCCCAAGTGGAGTTCAAGGGCTGCGAGGAGCCCAGAGCAAACTGCCCGCTCAGCTGCCCTGCCCTGGGGTTGGAGGGAGCTGTGCTCGGGCAGCCGCGATGGGGCCGTCTCACCTGTCCTACTTGGCTGCCGAGGTCGGGGCTGCCCAGCAGCCGAAACAGGGCCACGCCTGCACCGCCTGAGCAAGGAGAGGGGCAGAGTGCGCCTCTGAAAACTCAGACCCACCTGGCTTCCTGCAACAGACGGCTGTCTGCTTTCAGGGGGCTGTGCTCATGCACCCCCACCCGAAGGCGGCTACAGGTGGGGAGGGATCACTTCTTGACCAGGAGGCCAGGGACACAGGCTCAGTGTCCAGAAACCCGCAGGGCCCGAGATCAGCCACTCAGTCTGGTTTACGTTTTTTATTGAGTCTCAGCAGATACGGGAGCCCCCAAGACCTGTGTGCCTTCAGGAGCAGCCGCCCTCACCGCGCCCTCAGGACGTGTCCATGGTTTGGACTGTCTCTTCTAGCACCTCGATCTCCAGGGGAGTGACCTTCTCGGTGAGGGTGGCAGTGGTCCCTTTCTCACACCTGTACCGGCCAAACCTAGAGAAAGACACGCGGTTAGGCCCGTCAGGGAACCCTGGCCCTCCCCGTTCCCAGCCCTGCCGCCATGGGGGGCTTGACAGCCAAGGTGTCCCCTCTCGGGACACAGACAGGTACCCGGCAGGCACAGTGCACGTTAGGGCCAGGGACACCTGGGACACGGCCACCCCACAGATGCCAGGAAACACCGGTGGTGTCCCTCCACCTTTGGCCTCTTCACTGTGGGGTGCTGGCGCCTGGCTTCAGGGGCACATCGGGTGGGCTTCCACCTTAAGCCACAGACGCTCGCAAAATGGCTGCAGTGGACTGAGAGCCAAGGAGCCAACAGGAGAGTCAAGGTCAGGGCCATACAGGGGCCAGGCATGCGACACACCTGTCCAGGCTCTGCCCCACCTTGACTGTCCACTGGAAAAGGCCCCTCATGCAGGCAGGGCCCCCATCAGTCACTGGCAGAAGATTCAGTGCGTGGACACTGCTGCAAGGCCAGCTGGCCCACACCTTTCACACGCCACAACAAGTTGTTACAATTAACTTCTGTTCTGCGTGTTTAGACTCCACAGACAGGCTCAGGGCCCACGGAGGCTGAGAGCTGTGGCCATGCTCTCTGGACACGGACTGTGCAGAGCACGGCTTCCTGCGAGCTACAAACCCCACTTCCCAGGGCTCAGCGTGGTGTCCAGAATCCTCACCTGGGACACTGTACGCTCTACACAGAGCGTAACCACCTCCTCACCCCCATCAAGCTTTCAGCTTAGACGGGCTCAAGTTATGCCGCATCTTACAAATAACGAGAGAAGCAGGCCATGCAGGAGTACTTGGCTCCCACTTTCAGGGAGCTCATCGGAGCTGCATCCCCCACATCTCCAGGCCTGACAGGTGCTTCCCTGACTCAAAAGGCCCAGGGACTTACAGGACCCAAGTGATCACCTAGTCCTGCGCTATCATTTCAAAGTCAAGGGAGAGGTAACAGCCCCGAGTCACCACTCCGGCAAACACTCCCCATCCCCAAGCCACGTGCTCTGCAGCTGGGAGCACCTACCCTGGCAAGAACACCCCGAGTTTCCGCAGTGCTGAGTACCCACTGCAGCTGACACCCGTGGGTCAGTATTCCGACTCTCCCGTGAGTTTCTGGCTCTGGAATTCGTGCACATGGAGCGGGTGCCAAGCAAGCATTCCAGAGGTGCTAGCCGTTAGCCAGCTGGGGCTGGGTGGGAAGTGGCAGTTTCAGGTCAGACGAATGGGCTGGGAGCAGAGGCAGAGCCGCGGCGGGGCAAGCGCCACAGCAGCAGCAGCAGCTCAGCCGACGGCTGCCCTGAGTAGGAAAGCAGCCAGTTCTCCCCAGCCCCGAGGGCCTCGTCCCCACGCCACGCCAGACACTTGGTGCCGCTCGGCAGAACCATGGCTGGCTCCGGGGCAGAGCGTGGGGTGAGGTCCACGGCTGACCTCTGGAGAACAGTGGCCAGAGGCTGTAACCTGAGGCGCGTCTGGAAAATGCACCTTCTCGTGGAGTTCACGGTTCTCTTCAGAGACCAGAGGAAGGACAGCAGGCAATTCAAGCCTCCCTCTCAGCGCCCGGCCCAGCGCGCTCGTCCCCACGCCACCCCATCAGCATTTTACAAGGCACTTTCTACACCCGACAGCCGCCCGCACCGGACAGCAGAGGCTGACCTAGAGGTCTGGTGTGTGAGGCAGGCGGGGAGACTGACCATGGGAAGGAATTAAGCAAACCCTGCCCGGGCGCCAGGGAGCTACCACGGGTGCCAAGGAAGCCAGGGACATGAGGAAGGCCGTCTCCACTCACCTGGTGCCCTTCTTGTTGGGCACGGAGTATGGACGGAGAAAGTCCAGCTTGGCCTTACTGATGACACAGAGGTCGATGTTACTTCCAGACCCCAGGTCGTTGAAGATGCCAGCTGCGATGGCGTCGCTCACCAGCTGCTTGGCTTCCTCCTCCTGAGAAAAAGAATGGCCACAATCACGCCCACTGCCGAGCCGGGGGCCTCAAGCACGCCCACGAGCCGCAGGAAAACCACCTGTGAGGGCCAGCGTTCTTTTCCACCCCCTTTTCATCGATAAAGGCCTCAAAGTATCTCCTTGATTTGCCCGAAGTTTCCCAGCTGCTAAGTGGGGGACCAGGTTTTCACACCTTTTAGTTGCGTGTCCCCCCACCCCTGCAACATGCTGCTTCGCGCCAGCCGCCACACCTGAGGACCAGGACCACAGTTTACATATAAAACTGGGTCACTGAACTTCTCAGGAAGGGTTACGCAGTGAACCCTTTAAGCTGTGTGCATGCATAACCCTTGTCACAACTACGGAGTGTGAAACAGCCGCAGACAGTGCCGCGGCACAGGGCTGGGCCGTGCACCAATGAAACTCAACGGCCAGTGGGCTGTGGGCTGCATGTGGCCCACAGCTAACGTCTGACTAAGAACATCCAACAAGGGTTGGAACCTCCTTCCTGCTATCACGGAGGGAAAACCAGCACCGAACACACAGTGGTTCTAAAGAAAATGCTGACTGAGCCAGGGAGGGACCTCTCGCCGAGAGCGCGTGGCCGCCCGCCCTTACGCCTACAGGCTCATCGAGACGATTCTTTCTTTGAATCACGCTCTTTTCTACTTGTTTAAGAAGCAAGCGGACTCCCTAATGTCGGTGAAACCTGGACTGACTAATGTCTGTCCGAGAGCGCCTGGCACATGCTGCCCCTGGGCTGGGCTGCCACGGAGGGAGGAGGGAGCAAGGGGGAGCGGGCTGCAGGGCCAGTCTGAGCAGCCCCGAGTCCAGGGGCACAGTCAGTTCAACGGTCTGCTGACGGCGCGGGGATCACGGAGGCGGCGCCGGGGGAACACTGCGTGGGGAGGGCTAAGGGCAGGACTGAGGAACACCAAGTCACGCCCCCAATTAACAAGGGCAAAAACAAACCATCTTGAACCCGTCTCTAATCTACGTCTCTGCTGCACCCATGCATGAACACAAACATACACCTGAATTAAAGAATCAACCAAGTAACACCTTTTCAGGACCCCCACCACCACCACCCCCCACCCCCAAGCGCCAGCCCGAGCCCCTCGGGGGACAGGTCTGCTGCTTGGCCCTGGGAGGCTCCTGCTCCGGGCCGCCTAAGCCAGGAGGGGATTCCAGGGACATGGGCGCCCTCTACAGACGCAGAGCCAGAAGTGGGAGCCCCAGCAACCCAGAGCAGGAAGCTGGGGGGGATTCCAGTGTTTACCCCAGGCTTTCCCACTTGCTAAGTGGCATTTATGCTGGTTATTCTCTTGTAATGTGCAGCCCTGTGAGAACACATTCAACAGGACCCTCTACTCAGAAGTTCCCTTCAGGCATCCCCACGTCTGGGACCAGGAGCTTTAAGATGGCTGCTGCTGTGCCCAGACAGCCACCCTGCCCGACTCCACCTGCAACCTCACTCCATCCTGCCAGGAGTGCACCCCTCCGAGGCCCCTCTCAGCCCTGACCTGGCCTTCCACCTCTGCCTTTCCGTGCCCTCAGCTTCACTGGTTCGCCCCCACTGCGCTGTTACCACTGCTTTTGTTATCACTGCTGCTGGTGCCTGGGGCCAGCAAACGGCACCTAGTGGGGGTCACAAATCCTGCTGGCAGCACTAGAACTGAAGATTTAAAAATACTCAAATTATCTCTGGGAACAAAGATGGGGCAATTCTGAAGAGAAAGCCAAATCACATATCACATACGCAAAGTGAGGCGCGCACATCTATTATCCATCAGTTAGATCGGACACCCGGGCGCCAGAATGCTGACGGCGCGGACAGGGGCTGAGTCGTCCTCTGTTTTGCAAATAGCCTGTAATGGAGTAGGTGAACTTCGAAAACTTAAAAATGTGCAAGTC